AAGAAACAGATGTTTTAATGAGGATTTGGAATTGCAATATTATCTTGTATCTGCTAAAGACAGGATGATTTGCTTGCTTTGTGATATGCAATATCAAAATTAAAGAAATTCAGATGCTCACCAGCATTAAAACACTCATAAGGACCACAATGTTTTAATTAGGAGGGGGGAGGGGTGAAAGTTGTATTGCAGAAATTTAAAGATGAAAAGCAAAATCAAAACAATTCTTTCAACAGCAGTAAGACCTGGAAATAATGCCTGAAGCAATTTATAACGTAACTTATATATTCAGTGATGTGGAGATTGTGAAAGAATGCAATGCTGAAGTTGTAGGGTGCTTAGACCCCAATAATGCTTCAAAGTACAAACAAATGCCTCTTTCAAGAACCACACTGATCAGCAGCATGAATTAGCCTTCAACCTAACAGAACAATTTCATGCGATAAGGAAAAATATATTATTTAATCACTTTGGATAAATCAACTGATACTCTCAGTGCAGGTTTTATGCTTCATTCGGATCATAACAGATTTTCTTTGCTACTAAGAGTTACTCACTTTGGCACTCTTGAGAACAGAACATGGGGATAGATATCTTCAGCAACTTACAAGTAAATGTCATGAAGTTGGACTGAGTTTGGTAATTTTGTGAGTATATGTATAGCTTGTGCACCTCCATGACAGGAAAACATGAAGGGTTTATTGCACATATAAAAAAGTATTAACAGACCCAGATGCTCTCATTTCTTTTCATTGTATCTTGCATCAGCAAAATCTCTGTGCCAAAGCTACTATTTTAAATGACACTGTGCAAAAGGTTATAAGTATTATTAACTATATTCCTGCAAATGCAACAGGGGCCATCAGTTTCCTAACATGCTGAAGTTGAAGGATGAAATACTCTATATGGATTTGTCCTATCATTCTAAAGTGTGTTGGCTATCCAGGGACGGGTGTTAGCCAAAATTTCATATCTGCAAGAACAGATAGTTAAATTTTAAGAAGAACAGAATCAGTAATGTGAATTTTTGAAGAAGATTTCTATAGGACTGCAGCATTTCTATGTGAATATCATGTGAAAATAAACGACTTGAATATTTCTTTGCAAGTTAGAACTAAGTCTATATATGATATTATGGCAAAAAATCCAAGCATTTTGAAAAAAAAAACAAAAACTCTTTTTTCAAAACATTTCTTCTTCAAAAGGAAATTTGGGATGAACATTTCTCCAGTTAGCAGAAGGTCATTGATGAACAGGATCATATATGTGAATCATTTGAAGAAGACTGCAGCAGTCACAGACCTACTAATTGGAGAACACAATGAAAGGTTCACTGACTTTGAGAGGCACTCCAATTAGCATTTCAGCCTCACCTACTTGATATCACCAAGGCACCTAAAGAACTACAGATGGAATTGATTGAGCTCTCAGTAGATGTCATTTTAAAGTCATTGTTTGATACAAAAAAGATACAACTGAAATACAGAAAAATGCAGTAGAATACCATGCCTTCAGCAACATGCCCGAAAAATGCTTTCTTGCTTTTCAGCCACTTATTGCTGTAAATCTACATTCTTCTACCTAATCCAAATCAAGATGGCCTTAAGGTCACAAGTGACTGATACCATCTAGAGGATCAACTGACACACAGACCTCAATAGGCAACAAATATTCACATGCTTTCCAACACAAAGCAGAACACAAAGTCATTAAAAGGGTTAGTTAACTTTAAAATGAACAAACAGTTTTCAATTTTGAAATTATTAAGTACATATAGTTAGATTTTACAAAATAATGTACATTTTAAGTATGTCTAATTCAAGTTTCTTGAATAAGGCCTTATTTGATTAGAGCTAAATTAATTCAGCCTTCCAACTAGAAGTTTCCCACCCCTGATAGAGAAATTCACAGAAAGAATACAGGCATCCGTGCCTTTTAATTCTGTCCAAAGATAATAAGAATAGAAATCAGAGACTGTGTTTTATGACTCTTAACTTTGTGGTCTTAACACTTAGCTTTTTAGTTTTGTTTGTGTTAGGATGTGTGACTTATATAATAGTATAAATGTATGCTTATGTGTTACACATCTGAGAACACTTGGTACTGGTAAAATGTGATGCATTAAAGAAACTGACTTCATCACCAAATCCGTTTGAACATTTTTTCAATGTTCAATGGCTATTTTTCTAAACTCAGTTCCATGACTATATTCATGAATCTAAAATGCCATTGTTTATAAAATACATCATTTTTCTATGATCCTCTAAGAAAAAAAAAATACTTCCAATTAACTTACAACATGCTATCAAACACATCACAATTTTAGGGATATTTTAAAATTTAAAAACATGTTTATCATAGAATGAATGAATGAAATATAGTACATTTATCCCCTCTTCTGATCTATAAAATAATAAACTTTGACTTATTTTGATATACTGTTTGTGCAAACCTTGCTTGTTAACCTTGACTCAAAGCAAGACATCACATTGGATTTCCTTTTCCTTGGGCCCACTGGCTGGGAAACAGGAAGCTTTTATTCCAGGGCATTGTTCAGTCTCAGCTGTTTTATTATTATTATCAGAAGTAGTAATTGTAGTAGCCATGGCGGTAGAAATGAGCATCATAGTGACAGTTTCTGTCATGTGGTTACCGAGTATTTATTGAATGTATGCTATAGTATCTCTGCCTATTGGCTTTGCCTGACCTCACTCCACATATAATCTTAAACCTGGATGAGAAAGTTCAGCAACAAACAGCATGTTAAATAGCTTCTAGCTACTAGCAGAATCTCAAAATTCTGTTTCTTAAACCTCTCTCTGTGTGCTATACCTAAGTGTGTCAGTGCTAGTGTATTGGCCTAAAACTGTAAGCTCATGGTGATATCAGACAGTCCTACAAAACTTTTTGTTATAACAATAACTAATGTTCATTGCATACCCACTGTTCAGGCCTGCTTCTAAGGACTTCATGTGTATTCAAGCTTCAAAATTACCGTAGTAGGTAGATCCAATGATTGTAATTGCTCATCATTTACAGATGAGCAAACTGAAGCACAAACAGGTTAGGCTATTTGCCTACTGACAACAGCCCGGGGAAACTACCTGTGTGTCCAGGGTCCCCTTGGCATTGTGGGCAGCATTTCTACACCGTCCTCGGATGCTCCATACTAGCTGTTTTATGAGAATCAGACTGTAGACCAGAACATACACATGTCTGGACTGACTAAGATTCTCTCCTAGACCCACCTGTGCCCATCCTTGTAAAATTCAGCTGTAGCAAAGAGCCCTGCTAAGTAAGTTCAGCAAGAAGTCCCCACCCCTAATTATCCTGGATATCTGGTTGGGTTCCTCATTGTCCAGCATCTCCCAGGTGATGTCTGGTCCCCAGGCCTGCCTTCAGCAAGAATCCTGTTAGACTGGTGTAGCCAGAATCCCCCAACACCCGCTGCTTCGTCTCAGCACTTCTCCCTCTGTCTCCTGTCTGTCATCCTGCCTCCTGGCTATCAATTCCCACTTGCCCAGGATGTATTTGGAATTGAGCCAAGTTCTACCCTAGGTCTCTTTTCCCCTATTGCAACAGTCCTGAATAAAATCTGTTTTTATCCCTTAAGTGCTGTCCAGCTCTGGGTTTTTTTTTTTTTGTTGTTGTTCTTTTGGACAATATCAACCAGGCTACCCAGTCTCGTTTAGTGCAGTAATGAACACGCTACATTTGTTATACCAGCTCCATCCTGTATGTCTAAAAGCTCACAAGATTAGGGAGCTGAGCTACATATGATGTCAGTATTCAAACTTGCTTTGAGCACAGCCTCAGTGATTCTACTGGTCTAAGATGATAAGACTTTTTTTTTTTTTTTTTACTTCAGACCTGATCATTTTAACCAGGAGGCTAATCAGGGAGAGGCTGTCTTTTTTGATGCATTTTCTTTAAAATTCATAGCACGTCATGCTGAAAAGTCAAGCATCCCAGTCTAGTTGTGCACTCAGGTGAGATGCCTGCGAATGGAAAATCAGAGCGTCGTTTCTCACCAGTGCAGCCTCGGAGCTGACCGCACACGGCGCAGTTCACAGGGGAGGCTGTTCCTCCTCCCTCCTTTCGCTACTGGAAGAGCTTCCTTTGAGCTCCTGACAGGGTGCAAATTCTTTGCTCAAAATCTTTTCTCAGAATGGCTTGGAATTTGTTGCACTTAGTGGCATCCCTGCCGTGATCTTCCAAAGAGGAAGATTACCCACGAATTAAAACATCACCAGCAACAATTCCAGCACCTGTTTTCTGGAGCCTCTAATCACCTAGGCAAAAAGAAAAAAACACATAAGCTCCTGTTTCGCTTTCGCACCCTTTGACCCTTCTCTGCCACATTTTCTATTGCTGTAAGTCTGACTCTGCCTGAGCCTAAAGTGACTGAATGTTAACTCCCCCACTAAGGGCAAAATAAAGGGACATGGCAAGAATCACAGAGATGCCAGTGTCACAGTGGGAACCGACCTGGGAGCGCCGAGGCTCACAGCCGCAGCTCCTGGTGCTGGCCTTGGAGGAAGCACTGGGGCAGAAGGACCCTGGAACTCCTCAGTACTCACGAAAGTCTTTGGCCTAATTTATTTGAGTTCAGAGAAAATAGAATTTTCTAGAATGTCCAAGGCATTTGCATTAGGTTGATGTGGAATCACATTCTTTTATTTCCAAAACTTTCCAGGAAGCACTTTATAGAAAACGCTTTTCCCCAGTTTTTGTCCTTGACGTTGACTGAATGTCAATGGCGGAGCTGTGTCTGTCCCTGTCGCTAAAGAGCTGTGTTCCTCACTGGCATTTCTCACTTCACCTGACGATTGTAGGTGTCTTTGAAACTAATATTTTATTTTCCCCTAATATATGCTGAAACTCATTGAATGACACAATTTTTATAAGTTGATCAATTATTTGGTTAATCAATAGGAACAAGCTATTTGAAAAGAGACTTTAGACTATTTCCTTCATTGTCTCTTTCTCTTCTTCTTCCTATTTCCTCCTCTCTTCTCCCTCTTCCCCTCTCCTTCTTTCTTTTTAACAATAACTTTTTTATTCTGATCCTATGGACCTGGAGACAGACATTCGGAACTGGTTTTGAGTTTGTTTTGTCATCATTCTATGTGAGGTTTCTGAGAAATTCTCTGAGCATCTACTCTTTCTATTCCCCACACATAAAATAGGAATAGAAACCCCACCCAACTCTGAGTTTCTTGTTGTAATTAAATGGGATAATTTGCATGAAGCAAGTATTCGAGTGCCTAGAACATCATAAACATCTAATCAATGTTAGCATTTTTATCATCACCTTCCCCTTTCATAAATTTAAAAGAAATTTCTGTACTTTGGCCAATCCCAGAATGCTAATCCTTACAAGGTATGCATTTTATAATTTAAAATAAAAGCTCTTAAAAATTATGGCGTTCTCTGGAAACTTCCCAATCAACCAACTTTGCCAGTGTGTGAATAAATGGCTTTGGTCACCTCACAATTTAGAATTGGATGCTTTTCCTGGCCCTGTGCCATGTCTCCTTTCTCCCACACGAGTGTCTCTGCTGGATGTTCAGTCTACAAAGGAAATTGCTTTACGGGCCACAAGTCTGCCCAGATGCACAGGGTGCAGCCACGGAAATGCAGCCACGGGCGCACCGAGCTCAGGGCCGAGGCTGTGCTCTTATCAGCCCTGGGCTTGGCTAAGGCAGGGAACACAGAGCCATTCTCCTTTAGGAAACTGAGGACAGCCAGAATCCCACAGCTCCCCTTCGTAAGGGGCCTTTAGTTACTTCTCAGCTGTGTCTTCCTAAAGGGACGGGCCATGGACTCATGCAACTGTGACCACAGCCTGGAGGCCAGGGGGACAAGCAAACATGGAGTTTCAGGGAGAAATTAAGAAGAGGAAATATTTTGTAAAACAACAAAACCATTAATTATTCCTTTCCTGCCTGTTCCCTAATTACTCCCCAGCTTCTGAAATGAAGGTGCTTTGCTGGGCAGAAGAGGATTCTGCACACTCCTGTGGCCGTCAAAAGCTCGGTAAGTGCTGCATTTACCGAGGGAAGGCAGCTTCAAAGGGTTCACTTCCACTTAGAGTTTAAGTAGCTCTACAAAAGGGCATTGATTTTGGTTAAATTGATTTCATTCCTAGTTGGTTTGGATGGTATATTCAAAAGATAGATCATATCAGCACACAGTAGGCTGAGAGGGCAGACTCCCTCTTGTGTGCGTGTGTGCGGTCCTAAATATTTCCTCTACTTATAGTCTGGTGGGATTTGGCCTTTGAGGGGACTGAAAAGACATTTTCACAGTAGGGGCCATCCTGGAAAGTATTCTTAAACCGCAATCTGAGTTATAAGATCAGCTTCTCTGCATTGCCTCTGATTTCCTGTGCAGCAGATAACCCACTTGTCTTATTACTTTACAATAATGCAAATTAGCTATTGGTGCTAATTTAGTTGAAATATATAATAACAGGCAGGTGTACTAGTCCTAGCCAGTTATTAGGACTCAAGTTTGAGTCCACGGTTTTGCAGTAGTGGCTATGGTGGAAAATACCTGCATGACTATTTCAAACATTCCAATAGGCCTTTTTATGATCACTGTATTTGACTGCAAACCTCAGGCAGGATGGCATTTGGAAACCATATAGTCTCAAAAACTGCACTACCAAAAAGAAGGCCTCTGCTGAAAAATATTCAACCTTATATACATGTAAATGCACAATACATGTGATTTCATATTAACACATGCTATCATTTTTTAATTATTTATTCAAATGAAGGCAGCTGCTAGTTTTAAAAAATTAGAGAAAGACAATGTTTCAAAATTATTTAAAGGTGGCTGGTGGCTATAGGATTCATCATAGTCTTTCTCACTCAGCGTATCTATCTACTTATTTATGCTCTGTTCCGACCAATATTAAAAATCAGTTTCATTCCCTAAGCAGCCACCCAGTGATAATTGGGCAGAGACAAATTAAAGGCGGGTATCTGGAGAACTCAGTTTGAGATTAAAAACATATCATAGCTCTATGGATTATACAGATACACGTACATTTAATACTCACATATGTTTTAATGACACTTTTCAGCAGTACTCTTTTTGCAAAAAAATCATCTGAGGATCTTTTTCAAACACAGGTGCTTATGTCCCACCATTCAAGTAAGTCTATTCAATAGGACTGGGATAGGCCACAGGCGATGCGTTTTTAAAAAAATTTAAACCTATACCAGTTGATTCTGACATGCACTGGTTAAACTACTACATTAAAGATCAGACAAAAAATGTCAGCTGTTTAGGCATTTGAGAAGAGTCCTTCTGTCTTTCCCAAGATGCATAAATGATACACCATCGACCCAGTTGCTGAAACCAATAATACAAAAGTAACCCTTGATTGCCCACTTTCCTCATCCAATCCCTCACCCAGGGCTCCTGGCTCTATCTCCAAAACATTTCTCAATATGTCCTTTTTTATTTTCAGTCCAAGCTGTTGTCTCCCCACCTACCCTGCTGCTTTATTCCTGGAGATTAGCACAGTGCCAGACACATGATATCAGCTCCATAAATAATTATTGAAATGACAAACAACTGAAACAATTACAAATGGTATATTCTCAATAATTACTTGCACAAGACCTGGTGAATGCAAAATTGAGTTAATCTTAATAGACATTGAATTAAAAACAAGATTGCTAATATATCTAAGTACAGGGCACGTGGCATGACTTTGACCAAATAGCAGGGGAGAGAAACAGCCCAATAGCACATTGGCCACTGCTAGTACCCAGGGACATGGATACTTGTAGTCCCAGCCTATTCCTTCTGTTTCACTCCTACTCACAGCAAAGAAGCTGGGGAAAAGCCTGTGCCAGAGCTATACCAGTTTCACAGTCCGCATGAGGATATCTGGTGGCAAAACATCAATTATCACCTCCTCATCTGAGAAGCAGAAGATTGGATTTCTGGAGTGTCTCTGCGGCCCACTCTTGTTGTATTCAATTCTAATGCTTACGTAAAACACCCTCACAAGGACAAAGGCGATGAAATCACTCCTTAGAATGAAACAAATCTGAATGTAAATGGAAAGATAATATGGTCAGGACCAAAGAGGCAGACTCTGTATAAACTGACATCTCAAATTAACATGCATCTGAAAGACACCCCAAAAAGAGGAACTGTTGTGACCATCAAGGAAGGAAATGCTCCAAGACTAAGGACATTTCTTCTGGGTCATGCTACCTGTGCTGTTTGTTCCGCACACAGAGTTCAGGAGCCCGAGCTAATGGCAGCTGACAGAACTAGCCCATCTCCATTGGGTTGATGCCGTTGGGCTGAGGCATCAACCAGGCCATGAGGCATGAGAAACGCGCATCACATGTAGACAGTCTCGGAGATTAGCAGGGTAGGGTCCTCCCCTATCCAACTCCCAGGGTTGTGGGCGTGAGACGTAAGGACGCTGTGGGAGGAAGTAAAGGAGGAGACAGATCAAGAACCACAGGCCCCTGAGGGCTGTCCTGGGCAGGGGAGGGAGCTCCAACCAGCTCCCCCAAACCTCGCTCACCCCCTCCCACTCAGGGGCCGAATGAAGGCCAATTGGCTCGCTCTCTCCAATTCAGTTAAAATGTTTATTGTTGTCCAGGACGCTAAATCACTCAGAAGGGGGCTTATTTGTTCTCTCAAGTTCTCCATTACCCCTGTGGGGGCTTGGGAGAGAGCTTTGAACTGAGAGAAAGTCCTGGCAGTAATTAAATACAAAAGGCCTCCCTGCGCTCCGAGTTGGCAGCCTGCTCTAGCCGAGCAGAAGGGGGAAGATTTGATTTTAATCACACAGATTTCATATTTTATTTTGCTCATTAAAATTCCTGATAAGGATTTACTTCAGCATTCTGTGGCTCTCCCTGAATATTTGAAGAGGGTCTTTTTAAAATTTCTCCTTCTCACTGCAAATGTTGTCTGATTCCTGCCTGCTCCATGGTCTGAAGAGATTGCCTCCTCCTCATTGCTCAAATCCAAGGTGTGAGCCATTTCTGGGAGAAAGGAAAAAAAAAAGAATTTGGGGATGGCATGCCACCACTCTCCACTCTGTAATTACAGACATGCTGCCTCTGCTCAGCCGAAGTGAAAAAAATCAATTATCTAAGAATGCTGGGTGGAATCAAGATGAAGACAAACTTTGCTGGCTGAAGTTATCTAGAACTTCTAAGAATATGAGGACTAGGAATTCTGGGTCTGCATAAAATCTTATTGCTCAGAAAGGGAGGGAAATCCTTTTCAGAAGGACTCTGTGCCCCGGCTGCCTCTCTGCAGGTGGTGGGCAGCGTTTAAGCCTCACCAGCCAGGCCCAGTTAGAAAGAAGCTGGGATTGTTTTATTTTTCAACAGAGCATCAAATGCCAACACTTTCTTGCCCACAGAGAATCAAATTTTAGTTTAGCTGTAGTTTTATAAATGCATATTCATATATGTGTGTATGTATATTCAATATATAGAATTGGATCTATAGTATTATAGATGTATAGAATATATATAGAATAGTGTATGGTATTATAATGCTATATATATATATACATATATATATATATATATATATATATATTCTACAGATAGTATCATTACATACTCTCCATCTGTACCACTCCATATCCTAGAGTTTCTTTTTCTGCATCTATGATTAGGATTTGCAAGTATTAAATCCTACATTCCAGACTCTTGAAACTCTGCATGTGTCCTCTGGACAAGGCCTGTCCTCCAGGGAACTGGGAGCAGTGCGGCGGAGGGGAGGGTGGGCAGTGGTGAAGCGTCTCAGTGCTGACCCAGTGACCACGTGCCCTTCCTAGTTGAGGCTCTAGTATCAAATGCCCAGTTAAGTTCTCACCACGTGCTGTTTCAGACACGCTGTGTTCTGATTGGCATAAATGTATGGCAAAGCTTCCTTTTTTGCCCTACATGTTTACCCATACAAATATTAGATTGCCAGATTGCATTATTTGGGGCGGGAGTAGGGGAGATCATTCCCAAACCAACCTATCTTTCACTGAGCCAGTTCTGCTCAGACACCTACAAATGTAATTACTACAATTGTTGCTAGCTTGTTAACTCCAACTAGCAAGCAGAGATAATTTACCTTTTGTCATTTTATTCCAATAAAACTCCATTCCACTGAAGTAATTTTAACAACTATCAAAATACAGAAAGAATCAAAAAACAGTGAAATTGTCTATACAAGCATGTATGTATATGTATATATGTATATATATGTAAGCATTTATATTCTACTTTTAATAAATTACAATATATATACATTTAATTCTATTAATAGGTAATAAATGGTAATGAGATTTTAAGATGTCCCAGGAACCCATTATTGAGAAATCTGATCAAGTTATACTCTAGGCAGGAGGGAGGAATCCTTGCCAAGATATGCAACATGTTTTCATGTTCAAAGTGATCATATGGAAGAAAACTAGGAATTAGAGCATGAGAAAGACATGTCCTTAATCGACCTCTACAGAGCTCATCTGGGAAGAAAGTGGGCCCCTTCTCGCCCACACGGCAGCCGTCTGCCCTGTTCTCTCCCTCAAGCATTTTCTGTTTTCAGTCTTTTGTGTGCTACTGCTCTTTCTTAAGGAACAAAAATCTTGTCCGTCACAATAGAATGTAAGGCCCTGCTCTTGTTTGAAGCCTGTGCACTCCCACTTCCTGCAATCTCTTTACTTAGCAGCAAATTTCCCTTCATTAAAATTAAGCCTCATTTCTTGCTCATCTTTTCCTGTTTCCCTCAGCAAAACTGAGTGCAATCCTGAACCTGTTTTTCTTGCTGCTTTATTTTCTTGTCACTTCATAACTAAATCCTCTTTCCCTCCAAAAACAATTAAGAGATTTATTCCACCCGATTTTTCCCCTTCTTTGTGTGGGAAACAAGAGAAACAGAAATCGAGGGGTGTGAGTGAGTGTGTGTGTGTGTGTGTGTGTGTGAGTGTGTGTGTGTGTGTGTGTGTGTGCGTGTGTGTGTGTGAGTGTGTGTGTGTGAGTGTGTGTGTGTGTGTGTGTGTGTTGGCAGCTGAAGGGTTAGGAAGTGTTTTACTAAGTATCCAATATGTACTGGAAGGATCCATTTGGTATATTTTGGCATGAGAGTTTTGCTCAGACTCTGGGATTACTGGTTAGGCTCCAGTCTATTTATGCTAATTGCAGAGACAGCATGGCCTTATATATCCATCTGGAGTGGCAACCGCTCAAAGTAATTCTCCAGGGTCAGACTACTAGACAGGAAGGTAGCAGAGAAAAAAAAAAGTCAGATTAGCATTGGATTCTGTAAGCCAGGAGTGCTCAGGCTCTGATAAATCTGCCCCTACAACTATCCAACCATCATCTCTTTAGTCTGTGATCATTTTCTTTCCTAACACTCTCAATAAGGTTTATCTACCTAACTTTTCCCTTCAGGCCAATGTGAATGCAAGGAATTCCATGGCCTTAAACTGTCATCGTTGCCAGATGCTCCTAGCAGAACTGAAGCCTCCACTTCCCCTGACAGGCAGAGACAAAGAATGGCCATGCAGTGTTCTGCAGTAGGGTAGGGCTGGGTAGCTCCTGCCTAGAGGCCCAGTAAAGCAACCTCCCTAAGACTGGAACTGTATCAGGGTCCTGATCACACTGGCAGGGGGCTCGCCCCTTAACCACCAATGCTGAGAAGATATTGGGGACGAGGCTCCAGAGAACACCATATGGTATGGTAGCTATTCTGGCTAGTCTTCAGTTCCCACTTAAGCTTTCTTAACTCCTGTGCTTACTACAAATCTGAGCACTCATTAAATTACAGTTAAAAACTGAAAACTAGCTAGGTGGCCTTGGGCAAGTTACTTCTAAGACTAATTTGTAAAATGGAATAATGATATTATAAACCTTATGGGTGTGTTTTAGGAATAATTGACATATTCAGAGTAAAATGCATAGCACAATTCCTGGCATATAGTAATACAATACTCAAAAATTTGGCTTTTTTTATTATTGTATCAGAAAGGCACTAAACATTTACCATGTACTGGGAAGTCAACCAAGTACGGAGGACACAAAGACAAACAAGAAATGGATTGTGGCCTCAACTAGCTCACAATCTAGAAAGTGTATTTGCATAATGAAGAGAGGTAGACTTTTTCAATCCTCCTCCTTTTTTTTTTTAATATGAGACAACAGAAGTTCAAAGAAGTTAAAAAATTGGTTTAAATATTACACAGTGAATAATGGCAAAAGTCTGGATTTGAACCAAGTCCAAGGATTTGAACCCGAGTGCAAGGATTTCCCTTTATCTGCTTTCCTGTGTAATTCGTGTGAAGTGAGTACCCAGGAATAAGAGTGGGGATTTGGTCACTCATGGGCCTTTCCGTTGCGTTACTAATATAGAAGGTTCAGGAATGAGCAAGAGAGATGAGAGGAGCAGAGCCAGTAAGAACCAGCCCTGCGCAAGCGCGGCTGAAATCCCACCCGCACGCGTTCCACCAGGAAGTGTTGGCTGCAGACTGCGGCTTGACGCGCCAGCACAGCACCCCACGACTCAGGTCCTTACCAGTGAGGGCGACAAGGACAGCTGACGTCGAGCATGCTACTGCAGGCTCCCGTCTGCAGGCCCCTCCACCCGGGGGGAGAGCCAGCCTTTCGAGGGCTCAGATCCCACAGGTATCAGAGCCACCATGGCTCTAGTGACAGCCCTCACTTCTAGCTGGAGTTCCTCATTCTCTCTAATTTTCAAGTGCTAGCTTATTGTCTTTTTTTAAAAAGGGCAAAAAAACCCCACTCAATTTTAAAAAAATATTACAATATTCCTAAAACACACCCACAAGGTTTATAATATCATTATTCCATTTTACAGATTAGGCTTAGAAGTAACTTGCTCAAGTTTTAAGTTTTATTTTTACTTAGTTATTTCCTTTTCTTAATCTTATATGGTTCTTTGTTTCTCACTTTTGTTATGTTTAACTTAGCCTTTTGTCTTAATCTTTGATTGTTATACTCCATTGGCTTCTAAAGCCTCCTATCTTGTATTTTTAAATCTCATATATGATATATAATTTTCTAACTCTTAACTTTTATCTTTATTATGACTTGGGTTCCATTATTTTAATTTTCTACTTTCTTTCTATTTGCAATTTTAACAGTTGTAAGGAACCAATCCCCTCCTATCCATCTGCCTTTCCATTATTATATAGAGACCATCTTTCCTTTACTTGTTTCTTGAATTTTTTCTATATTTGATTCATATCCATAAAAACCAACAAGCACCATAGCCATGGAGGGAATTTTTTCATTGAAAAAAATCTCATCCATTGAACCTTTTTCAGATGTTAGAGTCCAGAACAAACGGACCAAGACCTGTTCCCATGCAGCCTACCAGGAAGTAGATAAGAGCAGAGAGCCCCATAATCCATGAGCAGAGAGCCCCGTTATTGATGGACTGATGGACGCTGGTGAGGATTAACTTGTGGACTTCTGGTCTCTGTGGGAGGGGGTTTGTAGAGGCCACTCTCCTTCGGCCAGTGTGGGGTGGCCTTTGGGTAGGGCATGAGAGGGAGTAGCGGGAACAAGGCCTGTTGGCAATGTGGCTCTCTCTGCTCCCACCTACTGGTGGGCTCCATGGGAACAGGGTTCAGTCTGTTGCTGGACCCTAACATCTGAAACAGATTAATGATACATTTCTCAACTTGAACTCTGGACATGGGGGCTGGCTACTTCTTTGTTAGAGGGGGCTGTCCCTTTGCTGTGTTTAGCAGCAGCCCCGAACTTTGCTCTCTACGTCATTAGCAATTCCTGAGTCTAGCTGTGACAACCAAGCATGTCTCCAGATGTTGTGGAATGTCCCCCGGGAGGCAGTATCACCTGTGGTTGGAAACCTCTGATTTAATCCTTACAACCCTCTTTCATCATGGGCAAGGCCACCATTATCACTCTTCATTTTATAATAAAGGAGGCTCAGGCTATGAGACTATGATTTCTCCAAAGTTGCACAGAGTGGCAGAATGGACTAGATATGTAGACTTCCTAACTCCAAATCCAAGTTCCCATTTTAATATTTTATGCCAGCTCTTCATACCTGACAAGCAGTCCTGAGATTCCCTCAGAACAAGACTAGGCAGACTTTGCTTTGTAATTTGCACTCCAGACGGTCCCACATGCCAGAGGCTGCCCAGTGAAATCCAAGCCTCTGTCTGCCATTAGGGCTGCTGGTGTAGACAGGCTCAGTGGGCCATGGCATTACGCAGAGTAAAGAAGGCTAAGTGCCCTCAGCCTCCCTAAAATTGAGTTTTCGATGAGGGCCTATGGACTATAGGACAAGTTGACTTTTTACTTTTTGAAAATGTATTTATTTTTATTGATATATAATGTATTGATATATAATAATGCACATATATATGTGGTGTATATGTGATATTTTGATACATGCATACAATGTGTAATGATCAAATTAGTGTAATTGAGATATCCATCACCTCAAACAGTTATCATTTATGTTGAGAATATTACAAAATCTTCTCTTCTGGCTATTTTGAAATATAACCTAAATTCATGTTAACTATAGTCACCGTACTGTAATATTGAACACTAGAACCTATTCCTTTTATGTAACTGTATTTCTATACCATTAACCAACCTCTCTTTATTGCCCTCTTCACCTACCCTTCCCAGTTTCTGGTAACCACCATTCTACTCTCTACCTCCATGAGATCAAGTGTTTTATCTCCCATATATGAGTGAAAACATGCAATATTTGTCTTTCTTTTCCTTGCTTATTTCATTTAACATAATGTCCTCCAGTTCCATACATGTTGCAGCAAATGATGAGATTTCATCCTTTTTTATGACTGAATACTAGTGTACTCTGTGTATGTGTGTATCACATTTTCTTTTCCATTCATCTGTTGAGGAACACTTAGATTGACTTCATATCTTGGCCATTGTGAATAGTGCTACAATAAACATGAAAGTGCAGATATATTGCTTTGATATACTGTTTTCTTTTTTTCTGGATATATACCCAATAATGAGATTTCTGGAACGTATGTGGCAAGTTGACTTTTAATCAGAAAAATAGTTAATTCAGCACTGAAATAGGACCCTCTAAGTCTTCAACATAATCTTCCTTCTCATTTTCATTTTCAAATCTCTTAAGACAGAGCATCTTGGACAATTACCTGGGCGAGGATGCAGCAAAACTGACTCGGCTGAATGGATTAACCAAGGAGGTATATGGCTGAGGGAAAGTATAGCTTTCAAGAATGAAGCTAATGACCTGTTGAGGGCCAAGCAGAAAGTTGCCAGTAGGAGTTGCTCAATGGAGGCGCAGGATGTCCTATCAAGTGTAGCGAACAACACGATAGGGATTCTGAAAAAAGAAGTTTTTACCTAGGGCAGTTTGCAAGTAGCAGGACCAGCCAGTGAAGGGAGTCCAGTTCCTGAAAGGAGGAACCAAGAAGAGCATGCCAGGATGCCCACCCCATGATGAAACCAGGGGCCAGGTCAGGAAATGGAATCAATATCATCACAGAAGTGGACTTCAGAACAAAGAGGAGACCTGTTTCATGGCCAAGGTACCCAGTTGAAGTCAGACAAAAAGCAAAAGCCACCTGACGAAGGGTTTACAGGGCGCAGGACAAGAGTCAATGACACCTCCTGCCTCAGAGCAGGGTTGGTGTTGGGGCCAGAGGGAACGAAGGAGGCCCGCCAGGTATGAGGTGTAGAAGCCAGGATCCAAACAGATTTTTGGGAAAAATGTTAGTCTCTTTGGGTCTCACAAAATTTTAAATTCTTCCTCATGGAAAACAACAACAAAGACAAACTCCAAGTAGTAGGATCCAGTGGCTAAGAATTTAGGCTCTAGGATCAGGCAAATCTAGGGTCAAGTTCATAAACTGAGTAACCGTCTGGCCCCGGAAGGTTACTTAATGTCTCCAAGACATGGAGCCGTTGCTTTTAAGTCAATACAGAGTGTCTTTCATAGGGCTGGGAAATTCAAATGAGAAAATAAACAGAAAATTCCCAGGGCCTGAGATGTAATAGAAATTCAGTAAATGGTGGCTTAAAAGAAAACAATGTTCTCCAGCAGCCTCCACTTAGCATCTCCGCTCGCAGCGAGCAGAGCAAGATGAAAGGAAAGGCAGCTTGCTGTTGCTGTCAGAGGTTCTAATTTTAGTGAGTGTCCTTGCTCTTAGCATCTCTCTTCCTTACTTCCTTACACTTCCATTTGTTATTAAAAGAATGAAGACTTTCTCTCCCTCTTTTTGTGACATACAAGGATTTCCTACACAGAGAGATATTTAACATTCTCCCGATGCTCAAGGCCAGGCATCAGGTTAGCATAGCTACACCTGGATTTGGATCTGGAGACAAATTGCTCCTTCATTACAGAACCAGTGAGAAGCATCCAATTTTTAAGGTTGTTAAACCTGCAAGGGCAACAGAGAACCAAATGCATGTATAATGAAGAATGGCCGCACACGGGCACAGCGTCTTATCTCAGAGCCAAAAGAGAAACACACACAACCCCATGCCCAGAAAGACATTTTGACAGTAGAAACAGGGTAAGACTATCCTATTTAGATATGATAAGCAAGATGTGAAATGTCAATGAAGTTTACTTTTCCTAAGGCAAGGGATGCCAAGGAGTCAGCTACCATTTTGAGAGCGTCTCTGAACACCTGTCACGCGCACAGGCCTCTCTATACGTCTCAGAGATACAAGGACTCCCTCTCTAAAGACCCCCGCCTGCTGGCCCCTCACCTATAGTGCTGCTGCTGACAAACACGCACTCCCCAGCAAGGCACGGGAAACAATGGCCCAGTTGCCTGGGGAACCAGGCTTCATGCAGAAGCCTTGTAGGCTCCGCCTTGGGGCCAGGGCAGCCACAGGAGCAAGCTCAGTTCCCCTCGGTTTGTGGCCCTCCTCGAGGACTCCAGAGCTGTTCAGGGAGACCTGCAACCACTTTAGTGCATTTATCTGCTGCTGTGGGAAGAAGCCTTACATATCCTGTAGTCAGTTGAATCCAGCCCTCATTTTCCCTCAGTTCTCACTCCTTCCTGCACCCGTCCCCACTCACAGCAAACTTCATCCAAACTGCCATGTAAAAGTGGCCTCCAAATTGAACTCAAAGGAAGGGTACCTGTGCTAGGTTTCAACCCAGGGTGAGATCCGGTACACAGGAACCCCAGAAGTTGCTTGAGAATTTTGCAAATACAGAACTCGAATAAACAAAGGAGGTTGTTAAAGCAACATAAGATGATGGAAATTTCAGAGGCCCACACACTGCTCCCCGCCGCTATTAGCACACACTCGCTGCCTGCTGGAGCCGCAGCAGCCTGCCCGTGCTGCGCGGCATTCAGGACCCCTAGTGGTCTATCAAACCTCTGACTCATCGGTTACAGAGCTTTGTTGAGTTCCCTCTTTTCCATCAGCTTAGCTTCTGTTTCTACAGAATCAAAAGATGACTGCCAGTGGAAAGGGTGTTTGTTTTCTCCCAACGAATGCAATTGCTTCCATGACAGCCTGTGAGTGCTGCAATCTTGCTGGCCTCAGACACTTAATTCATCTCAGAGGTGATATCAAAGACAGCACAGCAAGTTTTTACCTTCCACTAGCTCGCTTGCTGCAAAAGCCCCTGTTCCCATGTCCCTGGTGACTAACCCTGCTGGGTGATGCCATGTCAACTGGGGCAAGAGGAGGCAGCACTACTGTCTGGGTTGCCATGCTGCAGACGAAGGGAATTGAAGCGGGGGTGTCAGCCAGTGCCTGGGCCCTGCTGCCTACCTCCTGAACTCTAGTTAGCACTCTCCTGTCGAGTGAACTAACGGTGAAAGCTCCCGCCACCAGCCCTTCCAGCCAGCCAACATGCTGCAGACTGTTCTATGCAGGACTTCCGGCAAAAAGGGTCTGAAAGCAACATTTGCCACTTTTATTCATGCTGAAGCCTCTAAGATGGGTTGAAATAATGAAGAGAAGCAAAAAATGTGCCTCATTCCAGCCTGCCAAAAGGAAAGACTAGGATCTCCCTAACCATCTCTCTAATCTTTGGTTCGATAGAAATGGCTCGGGAACAAAGTGTTCCTGCAGGAGAAACCTTTGTCCTTGCACCAGTAACTGGCCCGGCCAGTATCGTGAAGGATGCTGTGCACTCTCAGCATGGGACACTTGGAGCTGGAAGGAGATGCTCAAAGAGCTGACTTTTCTAAAGAGAGAGGTTGCCCACGTCTTCCTCAAATAAATCTGAGATTCGCCCCCTGTTGCTGTTGTCCCCACCCAGGTGCCAAGCCTGGGCACGCCCGGCCGGCAGGGCTTCTGCCATCTCTCACCTGGAGAGACTCGCGGGTCACTCCAGCGTCAGAATACACTTCAGAATCCAGGTTTTATCTCCTAGTCCTCTATTAAGCTACAACTCTATTCGACTATCTGCGATGCTCTCTTGCCCTTACTATCAGCAAAATGTTATTTTATTATTAATAGAAATGACTCCTTATTGAGTGCTTAATATATGCTAGGCATTTTCTTATAACTTTTCACACAGTGATTTATTCAATTCCCACAACTACCCTCTAAATTACCTTTTTCATCTTAAAGATGGAAAAACTGAGACTCAGAGAGGTTACAGAGTCTGCCAAGGTCATGCAGCCAGCAAGTATGGGAGGCAGGCTAGGCCGCTGTTCCCTGAACCACTAGAGTCTCCCCTCGGCGTGGAGGTCTGCTCAGTGGTTCTCCCGAACACCCAACCTTTCCACCCACAGCTTCCTCGGTGCCAAAGAGAGCCTCCATCCCGCACAGGCTATGAAACAAACCATGCTCACATCCAGCCCTTCCCTGTCTGGTCTGCTCTGCCTTCCGCTTCTTTGAGTCTCAGACATTCCTCAAACACTGGCTCCAGCCCAGCCTTCTCTGAAATGGTCTCTAGAGGGCCCAAGCCCACCCTCGTCTCCTGGGACCCCATGACACATAATCGCATGTCACTGAGCACTGGGCCCCGTTGTTTCACGTCTATGCCTTGCCTTGTTATAAGATATTATGAGCCATTTCAGGGAAAGGAAAGTGTCGTATTATTTTGTATCCCCTGAAGAATCTTGCCAATACTACGAACATAACAAGAGCCCAATTGAATTAGATCAGCATAGTTACGTGGCTCCTGAGAACATTCCAACCCCAAGTCTCACAAAAATGTAAAACCAAATGAACAGGCTGGCCATCATCTCCTGTTACATACAGCAGACTCAACCACATGCATCTCTGCTCTCTAGAATCTTTGGTGCTCCATTTGGATCTAGAAAAAAAAAGAAAAGATTTTCTGACTCTGAAGAATACCCAGGTGTGCCTTTAAACGCTGCCTTTTTCTACGTGGCAGCAAGAACTCTGTGAATTGCAACAGGACACGCCTCACCCTGCCCCAGCTGCTAGCACTGAGCACTGCTCTGAGCCCATGAGAAACTGAAACGGGAAACCAACTTTCAGGCCCCAACAAGTGTCCCCTGACTCCAGATTATCCAGGGGTGTACACGCAACACTGGCTGGGTATAGATACTACTGTGTTTCCCTGAAAATAGGACCTACCCATAAAATAAGCCCTAGCAGGATTTCTAAGCATCTGTGCAATATAAGCCCTACCCCGAAAATAAGGCCTAGTGATGGGCGTGGCTACGCAGCACATCTGCACAACCCGTGCATTTCGTCACAGAGTGGTAAAAAAGACGAGCAGCCCTTCTCATCTGCCCTATGAGAGCTCTGTTGCTCGACATGAGAGATTGGGGCCAGTGTTTCTAAAGGAAATAGAGTCGCAAGAAATTCAGGATGGACTTCAGGGTTTGGAGAGTTACGATGATGTTCCAGAAGAAGATGACTTAACTATATTTGAATAAATGTAGACTGTTGTACCGTACTTAAAAAATATAACACATCCCCTGAAAATAAGCCCTAGGGTTTCTTCTTGAGGAAAAATAAATATAAGACCCTGTCTTATTTTCGGGGAAACACGGTAGAAATGCACGTCTCAGTTTCATCCCAGCCCACCCACCCTGGAGTAGGCCAGGAATGGGTGGTGAAGTGGGAGGTGCTAGAGACTGTTCTACCTCGAATTCAACTCCAGCCTGCGAAGCCTGTACATTCCCCTCACCTCCTCGCGGTTTGTTTTAAATAGCTGATCTCTGTCTGACTCTACCCAGCTAATTAAGAGTGTGTATGTGTTACAGCAGCAGTCTCAACCTTTTTGGCACCAGGGACCAGTTTCATGGAAGACAGTTTTTCCATAGGACAGGGGTGGGGGTCAGAGCTCAGGTGGCGATGCGAGCAGGGGGGAGCGGCTGCATAGAAGAAGCCTCGCTCCCTCGCCTGCCACTCACCTCCTGCTGTGAGCCACCACCCCACTCCTCTTCCCACGTTTCACGGAAGGAGATATTTTCACGCACAGGGGTGTAAGGGTACAGAGCTCTGCAGCCCTGTCCCTAACAGGCCAATTAATTTCTTTTGTTTTTTTTTTGTTTTTTTTTTTGAGACAGAGTCTCACTTTGTTGCCCAGGCTAGAGTGAGTGCTGTGGTGTCAGCCTAGCTCACAGCAACCTCAAACTCCTGGGCTCAAGCGATCCTCCTGCCTCAGCCTCCCAAGTAGCTGGGACTGCAGGCATGCGCCACCATGCCCAGCTAATTTTTTCCATATATATTTGTTGGCCAATTAATTTCTTTCTATTTATAGTAGAGACGGAGTCTCGCTCTTGCTCAGGCTGGTTTCCAACTCCTGACCTCGAGCAATCCTCCTGCCTCGGCCTCCTAGAGTGCTGAGATTACAGGCGTGAGCCACCACACCCGGCCAACTGCAGTGTTAGACAGAGAGAAGCTTGAGGGTATGCATATGAAAATGTGTAGGTTCTAAGCACTTCTTTCCACTTATTTCTGTGATGAGTGCTGAAAAAAAAACCCATGAAATTAAAACCTTTGCAACTGCTGCTCCCTCTGTCAAGAGCAGTTCCCTGGAGGGCCCCAAGGCTCCCATCCTCCTCCTTCCATGCCCCTGCTGCATGCCAGTGTTGGGGAGTTTCTCTAGTGCATTCCATGAATGAGCAATTCCATTGCTTACTACCCCCTCCACTCTCTTTTTCTTCAGAATGCAGATGCTGCTGACACTGCGCATGCATTTATTTACTCACATCTCTGCCCTTGTGCACACACCAGCCTGCAGGCCCACGAGGGACTCCACCCCTTCAACTCATTTCTGGCGCTTAGTACCTAGAACCCTGCCTGCCTGGCACATCATGGCTGGGCAAAAATGATCAACTGAAAACTGTTAAGCACATGAGTAAATTCTAACAAATAAAGAAAGAAAGAGAGATTCTGAATCTAATTCTAATTTAGCACTAACAAAAGCTGGGACTTCCAAATAGAACTTCTTCTCTGTGGGTCGTGGCCTTCTCATGTGTGGAGCGGGAGGCCCAGACTGGCTACGCAGTTTCTTGCTGGATGCCCCTACGTGTGCCGGAGTCTCCTTGACATGAACAAGGGATGCAAGAGGAGGTCCTGCCCTGCAGCTGACTTCTGGGTGACCTTGGACAATGCCATGTCCCCTCTGCCCCTGGAGTCAGTGCTCAGTGGGGTGCTCTGCGGGAACATTTGCCCGGACATGTGCTTGTAGGTAATCCCAGGTAGTTTCCTTCTGTTTTGCAGGAAGAAGAGGAATAAGCCTCCCTTAAAACGCCTTTGCAAAGTTACTTTGCAAAATACCATCAAGCCTGAAGAAGCAGTGCTCTTGCTTGGGTCCCGCAGAGAAGGACTCATCAAAAGTTGTCTGAAGTCCGTTTAGGGAGAAAGCAAAGACGTGTTTCAGGGGAGGCAGGACGACAGCTTTGAGGCCTCTGTGTGATATCTCTTGGCTAGGCATTAGCTTCCTAAGGCATCAGAACTAATCACGGCAGTTTGCAGTTCTCCTTTCAACCATCCCTAGAGGCCTCCGTCTTTCACAGACCCCTGGAGGGAAGAAGAGAACGAACACGCTGGAAATAGCTGTGCTTTTGACGCGAAGCACGCCAGCAAACAGGGCTAAGATGGATCGCACAGTCAAGCGTCACCATCACCCATGAGCACTGGAGACGCCGCGGCCCGCGCTCATGGTTATGCAATGCAACAACTTGACAGAGTGCCGCCGTCGCTGCA